TTATAAATCTCAAAAAAGTTTTAATATTATATTGGAAAAAAGCAGATAGCTCTATTTCGCTTTCACTTTATAAATGAAACATAAGTTTTATTTATTTATTAATAAAGGGTAACCATAGGTTATGCAAAGACAAATTTCGGTGTCTTGCGGGGTCACAGCTGTTTAACTCGTTAAACTTTAACTTCTAAAGCAATCCGCTGGATCCGATACAAGTCAATAATAAAATTTGTACCAATTACGTTTACCGGGATTATTGGAACATACGCAGGCATGATAGGAGACGGCGGATCCCAAAATACTTCCCTTATAGGAATTGTAATCTGAAAGGCTGGCAAATTCGGCGTATTGCAACCAGCAGGATCGTTGACAGGATCCCTTGAATGTTTTTTAGCATTGCCAAAGTCCCACCGTTGTACTGCCAATCCTTGGCGGTAAAGTTTAGCCTAATATTTTAAAAAACAGACTAATCAGTTAACTTGTGTCATTGAATAATAAATAAGATATATATCGTCATTGTTCTATAGAAATATCCAGTTCCAGGTTCTCGAATATTTTGTCTAGGATTTAAAATCTTGATGCCGATGACAGCACGAACATATTGTTCTTGCATCCAAGTCAAGCACTTCTCTTTTAAATAATCAATACTTTGACCAACAGCTATTTCACAAATTATTCGTGCATGAGGATTTTCCTATATGAGAAATATTAATGAAAATCACATGAAACAAAAATACGATAATATGCATCTAACTTAACATACATCTACATCACTAGGAGGGCGAGGCATTGTGGTGGAAGCGGAGGGTCTTGGAACAAATGCTCTACTCGGGTATACAGTAACATAAGGAACTATTTGAACTCCACTTCCATTAGGTGCATAGTGTGCTATATAAAAATATCATCGGGATCATTAAAAAATCAATAAAAAGAATCAAACGAGAATAGATTTACTTACGGACTGATCCAATGACTTTTATAGGAGAATCATCAACAACTCCACCGTTAGGAACCTTGAAAAAATCTTGAAGCCGTGAAACAACAAACGCATGTACAGCTGAGGTCATATCAATTATATACACGTTGCCAGTTTCATTATCGTTATTTAATTCGAACCGGAACTTGTATCCAGATGATACATAGTTGTTAAGGAAAGTGTTATAATCTTTTATCTTTATATTTGAACCAATTTGCAAAGGAAAACTGCGTTCCAAAGTCTACATTAGCTGGTACTTAAGTAATAAGTAATATATCCCATACACCTACCTGATTTTTATGAACGGCGTTTTTAATAATTTTTTATAATTATGTAAAAACTCATCAAATCCATGGTCTACATCGGATAAGGTTGATCTGGTATGATATAATCATGTCGTGATGCATTGGAATTTCAATTAAAAATGATTTTATTTTAAAGATATAAAAAATTTTTAGGCCAAGCAGCAGAAAAGTTTTGCTTGACTATTCAAGTTTAAATGTGATAACAAAACAGTTAGTCCAAAATATTCACAAAGATCATGAATAATACTATGTACATTAATTTGAAAATTCATTAAAATACAAATTAAATTTATCAGAGTTTAAAGTTGAAAATAACAATACATATTTGATTTATATTATAAAATTAAATATTTTGAAGAATCGATAACCTTTAAATATAAACCACAATTTAAAATATTGTACAAAGTTATCTTGGCATAAAAAAAAAGGACCTTACAAAAAAAGTCCCATGAAAATTATATAAATATTAGTCAACAATATTTATATTTATAAAGATTATATTTTATATTTTATATGATTATTTAAATTGTAAAAAAATTATGCAAAGTGAACTTGTGTGCATTGACTAGAAGAACAAATACAACTACCTGAAATTTTTTAAAAATACTGTATTTTTATTATATTTAACTAAGAATAAGGAAAGTAGAATTATGTACTAAGGATAAAACTTGAATCTAATTAATGAAAATAAATTTATTAAAAATTTTAAAAATTTCAAAAAAAAAAAAAAAAAACAATAATATAAAATATATAATTTTTATAAGAAAATCAAATTAAATGTTTTATTTAGAATATTTGTTTTTAACACGTTATATCAAAGTTCATAAAAAGAAAAATTGATTTAATATATAAAGATAGAAAAAGGACAAACCATCGCATTTTTATAAAGATAGGTATAATGGTAATAATTTGTAAAAAAATAAATTATTGCACGAATGTTATTTATTAAAAATATTTGATTATAGTGATTTAAAAATATTTTTGAAATCTGAAATATTATTATTTTAAAAGAAATTAAAGAAATTTAAATGTATTTGGATGATAATAATATTTATGATATACAAAATAGATTTGTTTAATTTATAAAGTAAATATTTTAAAATGTATAGTTCGATTTTTAAAATTTTAATAAAAAAATTATCAGAAACGGTATCTTCTTTATTAGAAAAGATACTTGGGTTCTTTCACAGCAAAACGATGTTTGGAGTATGTATATTTTATACACTCTAAGCATGATTTTGCTGTAAAAGTACCCATTTATATATTTACGTTGATTATTACTTTATACTAAATTTTTAAGTTTTAAATATGTGTATTAAATATATTTTTAAATGCAGTATATCAATATGTATATTAAAAGTTGATTATTTGCCATACAGGTTGTCTTATAGGGAATTATTACGTATATGTACACATATAATAATTTTTTCCTAGATAAAAATGGGATCTAAAAACGGCTTTTGTCATACAAGATCTCGCGCGGCTTTCAAAACACTTTATTACAAAAGGTGTGAAAGGAATATTTATACCGATAGATATCAAAATAAAATCTTGATGATTTCTTTGATAAGAGTCGATGACCTAATGGTAAATAAGCGAAATAAAAATAACATTTTATTTACTCCCTATCCACAGTGATATTTTTCCAATTTAAAAGACACGAAGGGGTGTTAGGTTCCGCGTGACTTATGGCCAATGATTTACGATTTGATTTGCGGATAACTATTTCCGAGGAGTGAACTTATATTCAAAGACACACAAAAAAAGAATAGGTTATATAGTTCATAAAAGAATTTAAACGACATGGAGATGTTCCCGTTCTGTATTTACATTGTTTTCAAGAGAAATTTCCGTACAGAATGGCAAATTTTCGGATTATATCTTACAGTATACTTACAACGTGCCTCCGCCATATTTCTAAATTTCAATCATAATTACTGGAGAGAGTGGTATTTTATTAAATGAATAGGAAAAAATAATAAATATAAAAAAATATGCATATAAGTTAATAATATTTATACGAAGCCTGAAGAAACCTGATTTATTTTATATCCTTCCATGAGTAGTAATAAATGTAATGCTCAAAAAATTCCTAGATTTTAAAATTGAACCAAAATTGGTAAAAAAAACTTGCGGCGTTATCTAATGTTTACTGATTTATTTGTCGTCTCATTTTTTTTTTTTTTTTGATTTTTTATTACCTCGAATAATCGTTTAAGGAATACGTCAAAGACTTTTTAGTCTAGTAATGACGTACTCGTCGGGGCGGGCCCACATCCAATGTTCCAAATGGTGTCATCAAAGATGTCTTATACAAAAACATCTCAGATCGCATTGATTGATCGTAAAATTAATTATTTTCGCGTCTTTCGGACTTTGTCAAAGCTTATTCCCTCCCTAAAATATGGATTCACCAATTAAATTTGCTTGTGAAACATTATTCTCTTTCGAATGCAAAAAGGCAACAGGTTGACGAAAAAAAAGTTATATAAAGGAATTCTTTCTTCTCTAAAAATCCTCCTCGGGTTTGTTTTTGTTACTCCTCTGGCCAAACATCTACGACGCTGTCAACATGAATATGCAATATTACGACCAAATTTATTTCAAATGTTTGGCCATCGTTCACCAAAATGAAGGGGAATTTTCTTTTTGGTCGAACGAAACATCGGCCTCATATTTCTTGCATTATTCTCACTACAGTTGCTATGCAGTTGGTGAATTCGAAATACCAACAGCCGACAACGCTGTATCTCGTGATAATGAAATTACACTACATCTTTCTAAAGAAGACCTAAAGAAATATGACGCTACTTCAAAGAGGAGACCAGCTACGGGGTTTATCTTATTTCGCCGACAGATAAGCCGCATTTTCCGAAGCTGGAGTTTATCTTTTAGCTGGGAACGAGTTAGTTATATCTCAGCGTGCATATGGGATATGCTGGTAGCAGGCAAGGACGAACTAATCAACATCATAAAACGCGTTTATGACATGGCCTTGTGGACCCATAATACCAGTATGCCATTTGCTTTGTACGATCCTAACGCCAGAAAGGAGAAGAAAAGACAAAGAGGACCCAAAACTAATAACGCGAAAAGGAAACGTGCACCGGCACTCCGTCCTTCTCATGTTCCAAATTCTAACGAGCAACTAGTTTACAATAACGTTCCTATTCCGTGGAATTTGATCGAGGTGCCGCCTACCTTTTTCTCCGGATAATTTCACGGTTTTTTAAGACATAAATAAGAAAACTATGCAAAAGAATAAGCTTCACGTTGGTTATTTATACGTATATCTGAATTACATTTTACTTTCTCTGAATGTATGTTTCATAATAAATAAAATAAGTTAATCCATAAGCGTACCAAGAATTGCCAAAATCAAATGATCTATGCAAGATAAAAATATGTTCTGTTGGCAGATGACACAAATTATAAAATAATATTTTTATTGCGTGACCAAATGAATTACTACTGCGTTGCACATTCTTTTCTCTTAATCACCTCTTTATACGATTTGGGATTGTATCAAAATTTATCTATAGTGTGACGGTCGATCGGAGAGTCAGTCGCTAAAGTGAAACAGAGTATCGCGTAACCGTTGACGTTGTAAATTATTTAATAGTTTGTAGGCGTGTTGGATTTTTCTGAGTAAAAGAATATCTTATTGTCCTTTATTTACTTTTACTTGCATCTTTTTTATATATTTAAGTTGAGATGACTTTACATTCTAAAAACATGGAAACATCGATTATCTAAGGTTTTTTTTCATGTTATAATACTTAATCGGTTTTCACAATTCTTCCCTCATCATATAACTTGCTAGCATGCTTTCCTACTCTATTTTTTCAATCACAATCAATTCTCGCCTATATACTTTTTCATCACACTACAGGCACTCTTGCGGTGATAAATCACGTGACTAACGTAGCGTCGCAATTTTATCTACTGATATAATAGTATGGTGACTTCTAATTTAGACTTATTGCATGGTTTCTATTTTTATACTGCAAATTCAGATTTTAACATCCCTCCATATACAATATTTTCGATTGAACCAATAATATCCGATCTGGCAATCATTTGATAAACACAATTCCAAGTTTAGACTAAAGTTTTTTTCACAAGTATACATTTGTAGATTAGGACAGTATCTTCTTGCAATAATTTTTTTTTCGGGTTCAAAGTAAATGAATAAAATGATATCTAGAATAAAATCTCCATTTTCTTTATTAGTAATATAGAATAAGATAATAGAATTTATTAGAATTTATTGATAATCCATGTATACAATATAGATAATAAAGTTCTCTGCAGAGTATTGCTAATAAAAATATATAATTGTTAATTGTTTACTAGTTGAATGCAATTAAAACAATATTTAATCATTTGATATTATATTTTTATTAAATTGATACTTGCAAAATCAGTTCTATTGATATAAAATTTAATTGTAAGTATTTATTCAAACTATTAATTTTAACATTTTCATTTAAAAATAACATTGTTTTGTTAAATACCTTGTAATATTAAATTAATTACACTTGACTTTATATATAAGATAAAATATTTTTAAGAATATTCATTACCTTGCATAATTCTTGGATATTGAAAAAACCCTTTGAAACTTGTTTATTTGTTATTTTTTGTGAATTTAATTGTCATATTATTAAACCCAAAGGTTTGATTTTATTAAAGGTTTTAATTGTTGTTTTCAATGTAGTTATTAATTATATTCAATTTACATTTATTATATCAAATATAACAAATTTAATTATATAAATTTTTTATATTTATTATAGTTAAAACTTTTATATTATTTAATCAGGATATTGCTATAACCAATATATGGCTCTATTGGTCTTTAATTAATAAATTAAAATTTTTTTAAAAATTTTTTTATTCGAATTATTAAGCTATATTGATCTAATCAAAATTTAAGTGATTAATGATACGTGTTACGTTCTTTTTGGGAGCCAATGTATATCGATAAATAATTTATACCGAAATGTACCGATAATGAGATAACAGCTCAAGAAAAGTCGTCTAAACAATATTATTTGAGCGTTAAGAAATTTTACAGAACTTGGTTTGTTCAAATTCCAGGGCAGTATCCATAGCAATACTCATCTTTGTCACGTGGCTTAAATCAGAATTAAAGTAAAAATAAATCTTATTCGGATTGGGTGTTCAATATCATACAAATTGAATCTATTAAAAATCATACGGTCTACTGTGACTATTTTCCTTATTTTTAAAGTTCTCAATACAGTTTACATTGGTAGGGTAAAAAATTTCAAATTTCAGATAGATATTTGATCAACTCAACCATTTACGTCACATGGCGTGGTTTGGGGTCACATGAATCTTTATTTGCTTTTGTGTAGCACCCATAGTAAATACTGTATTAGGTAAACGCCCTTGTATCGCGTATTGCGGGATTGAATAAAAAAAATTTTTTTTTGTTTAAAAAACTCTTGATCTTCTTTATATATAGATAGCTTTTATATATGATTTAATAATTTTTATACTGTATGTACCCACGTCATAATTTTTTTATTTTCTGTACATTACTATTTATTTTTGTTTAAATTTTTTATTTAAAAGATTACTAATTTATTTGATACGTAATCTTGTAATCTTAATATAAAATACAACTAAAATTATTTCTTCCAAGTTGTTACAATGAAACTTAGTTCGTTACTAATTCTATTAACATATTTTTTAAATGTTCCAAATTCTTTATCAACATCTTCACGCTTTGCGCGTTGGACGCATGCATCAGCATTAGTGGGAGACAAGTTATATTTTATATGTGGAATGATAGACCTTAAATCTGTTATCGGCACAAGAGATTTATTTTACCTTGACTTATCAAAAAACTTTAAAGATTCATTACCAATTATTGAAATTTCATCCAATTTGCTGGTGGTTAACAGCGAGCGTATATGATTCAACAATATTTTTGTGTGGTGACTGGTTAGCCTATGTGTTAAATGAGGCTCGAGATGATATCGATTTTGTTTTTACATTTTCAACCCATAATAATACATGGCAAAGACCTTCAATTTATGGTACGCCACCGACTTCAAATCCGCTCGCAGCCATATACTCTGTAGTTGATAAAGCTGGAAAAATATATTTATTTGGTGGAGACAATAGAATTATAGCGTTCAGTAAAATTTTTATATTGGATACCATCAAATTAAGCTGGCTAAGTAGCAGCAACGCAGGACTGCCCTTTAATAAAACTAACTATGCAGGTGTTTTATTAAACACTGGTGAAATTCTATACATTGGTGGTGTCGAAAATTTTCATAGTGATAAAGTGTCTGATATTAATAAAGTAAGTATCAAAAATTATTACATAGAAATGTTAAATTTAAATAAAAAACTTAATTTATTGTAGATTCTAGTATATGATACAAAATCTTCCGAGTGGTCTATGACTGTAAGTATAAATTTATTTATTTCAAATATAATAAATTTAGATTATATTTATTTCTGTTAGACTGTAGATGGTTCGATAATTGATTCGCGCGTTCATCATACAGCTATTTTAGGTAAGGAGCCTTTCGAAAAATTTATGTATGTCATAAACTAATTTGCAATATATAATTGAATAAATGGAAAAGCTTCAGTGTATTATTTAAAAGTTGGGTCCGAAGAAAATCATATCTAGCATTTTTATTGCCTTCAAAAATAATTATTCACTAATTTTCTTTACTCTTACCGCATTACGATTCGTTGGGTTAAAATTTTAATTTGCGAAATCACGCGGACATACATGTCCAAAATTACGTATTCGATAAATCAACGGGTGATTACGGACTCTCGATAAACCGAACTTTTAAGTTTGGCTTATTGAGAGAGACTAGTATAGTGTTTGGCGTATAATAGTAACAAAATTGGTCAAATTCAGAGTTTACGATTACTGTATTCAAAGTAAAATTGTTTGTTGATCATCGTTTATTCGTAGGGATATTGTACAGTATACGGATTTAAACGGATCATATCTCTACGCCCTTGTACAGCGTATTGCAAGATTGGATAAAAAAAATTCATCTTTTCTTTATATAAAGATTACTTTCTGTTTAAATTATTTTATTTAAAATATTACTAATTAATTTCGATACGTAATCTTACAATTTTAAGATAAAATACAACGAAATTTATTTTCTATAAGTTTGTTAAAATGATACTTAGTTCGTTACTAATTTTATTGTCTTATTTTTTAAATGTATCAAATTCTTTATCAACACCTTCACGTTTTGCACGTTGGGCACATGCATCAGCATTAGTAGATGATAAGTTATATTTTATGTGTGGAATGCCAGACAGTAAATATGATGTCGGCACAAGGGATTTATTTTACCTCGACTTATCAAAAAATTTTAAAGGCTCGTTACCAATCATTGAAATTTCATCTAATTTGCCAGTAGAAGTCAGGTGGTCGACTGCGAGCGTATATGGTTCATCAATATTTATGAGTGGCGGTTGGTTAGCCTATGTGTCAAATGGGACTCGAGATAGTATCGATTTTATTTTTACATTTTCAACCAAAAATAATACATGGCAGAGACCTTCAATTTATGGTACGCCGCCGGCTTCAAATCCGCTTGCAGCCACATACTCTATTATTGATAAAGCTGGAAAATTGTATTTATTTGGAGGCGACAATAGAGTTATAGCGTATAGTAAAATGTATATATTGGATACTGTTAACTTAAGTTGGTTAGATAGCAGCGATGCAGGCCTGTCCTTTAATAAAACTAACCATGCAGGTGTTTTATTAAACAATGGTGAAATTCTATACATTGGCGGTAAAGAAAATTATCAAACTGGTAAAGTGGCCGACATTAATAAAGTAAGTATCAAAAACTATTATAAATAAAAAGACTTGAATTATTATAGATTCTGGTATATGATACAAAATCTTCAGAGTGGTCTACAACTGTAAGTATAAAATTAATTCTTTCAAATATAATAAACTTTAATTATGTTTATTTTCTGTTAGATTGTAGGTGGCTCGATAATTGATTCGCGCATTCATCATACGGCTATTTTAGGTAAGAGGCCAGGCCTTTCGAAAAACTTATACTATATACTGTACGTTATAAACTAATTCGTTGAATAAATGGAAAGCTCCAGACAATAAGGTTATAGTATATGGAGGCTCATACAATTCTGCTGGTGACGCGGCACAACCTATCATGGTTTTCCTAGATATAAGTACTAAACCATATTCATGGACAATTCCCGATATTTCTACCCAAGATTCACCCCCACCACTCTTAAAACATACTGCCAATTTGGTTGAAGATTATATGATAATTGCATTTGGTAGTTATATCATTAAAAGAGAAAAAAATTTTTTTAAATATGTATTAAATATTAGTTAACAATTTATATTAGGTGCGACAATTCGTTATCTATCGTTGTCCAATGAGATTTATTTATTTAATATCCGAAAGAATGCATGGACAACAGAATTTATTTCAAATAGTGTTCCAGCAACAACTGGGGACCCAACTACAACAGCCAGTGTCTCAACTTCGACCACCGCGAGTTCAAATCCACAAAGTATAACGGTTATAATAGCTATAAGTGCAAGCGTCACTATAGGTGCTATGGTTTTAATAGCCTTGGTTGTATTTTTGGCCTATCGTTATTATAAAAAAAGGAAACTTTCAAACGTTATTCGTGTATTGTAAAAGCACATTTAAAATATATGCACTGACATACAGTAAATCACATACAGTATAGTTTAATTTAAAAAAAAATTTTTTTAGTATTCAATGCACTGTTAAATATGCTCATGTTTCATCTTTGAAGTGTTATGTGACTTTTTTCATTTAATCTGTAAAAAAGGGATTGTAAATAATTGCTTAGTTATGTTTAAAAGGATATAATGGGCTAATTAAAAGAAAGTATGAGCAACAACACCTCAGAATAATAAGAGAATAAAGACCTTTTTAATAAACACTCAGCTCAATATCTAACACTTCACTTACTCATATGCCTCTATTCAACATTACATGATTGGTAATCACAACATAGTGATGGACTCATTGATTACACCCCAACAATATGCTGATTTATACTTTTTCTTATAGAAAAAAAATGAAAATGCCAAAGTTCCTAAGACATACCAAAATTAGTACAGTTCTGAGGTTTATGAGATCAAGTAAAAAAAGCAATAATGATTTGTTTTAATAAAGGTCAAGATATTGATTCAATAAAATAAAAGTTCAAGCCTACTAATTTCTAAGTAAAATTGGAGACTTTATATACATGTTTGAGTTATATTATTTTCATACATAATAAATATGAGTTATAGAAAATGATAGAAATATAAAAGAAGTGTTATATTCATCAAAACAGTTATTTATATATGTTAACATAGAAACAAATACAATAGAGAAGATAAAATAATAAAGATAAATAAATAAATAGGAAATATTATAGAGCCACAATAGTACAAAAAGCATAATGCTAAACAATAACAAAAAAAGTAATACAAGAATTATTCTAGAATAGATAGTATTTCAAGAGTAAATGCTAGTAAAAATCAGACAAGAGATAGTAAAGATCATGAATAAAAATCAAATGTAACAATTCTTTCTACTAAGCTATAAGTTTTACAAATTTATATTGTGCCAAGAAAACATTTAACCAAAATAATATAAGCAGCCATGGAATTATTATTTGCATATTGAGAATATTCAAATTTGAAAAATGAGCATGTTGTTTGGGCAGCTGTTTTTTTTATAGATTTTCATGAATATTTTTGAGGTATTACTATATTATGTACTTAAAGTCTTCTTGAAAATTATTTGGCAAATAATCATTAACTTAAAATTCTTTTAAAAATATCAAGAGAAAATCACTTGTCAAGAAATGCTTGCCTAACTTATTCTGGTCTCAGGAATCTATTATAGGAGACAATTGTTTTACCTCAAGAAAGGGTCAGAGTCTTGAAGCACCAAGTTTGTCAAAGAGAAAAGTTTAAGACTTTGAAACCAAAGGTGAAAAGATTAAGAAGAGAATTAAAAACACTTTGGAATGCATACTCTTTTCACAATCTCAATAGGGTGTTGGAATTGAACTTAGGAAAGTCAACATTCTTCTCACCATGGTCTACCTGGAAGAAAAGAAATCTAGTGGTAAAAGAATGGAAAAAAATAAATGGAATAGAAAAGAGAAAAAAATGAAATAAACTTGAGAAACAGAGTATTTTATCTTGAAGATTTTCTTCACCTGTTGGGAAATCCTATATCTGCTCTTTTTAACAAATTCTTTTCTTCTTTCTCATTTAACTAAAGATATGTTTTTATTTTATTTTCTTTATACTTTTTTTCTTTAAAGTTTGTGGATTTATTGTAGAAAATGTAGCAGTTACTGAATATGCTTTGTGGACTGGCTGTAATAAATAGGAAGTACTCTGTAGGTTACTTTTATTGCACTGCATCTTTTCCTTGTTTATCTAGTTTCTTTAGAGCTTCTTTTTTATTCAAAGGTTCAGTAATACTTGTGCTAAATTTTATACAAGTGAAGGATTGGATTACTTAAGTATCTGTATCCATGTTACATAATCTGGATATTGAACTCTTTAGTAGTTAAAAATTACTTCTTTCTGTATATTGTCATATATCATTTCTACCTTAGAAGAAAAATAAAGATGAAGAACTAGTAGTAGGGAAGTACTTTAAATGGATAAGGCCAATGTGGTGTGCTAATGTTCCTAGAGGCGTACAAATTAGTACAATTCTGAGGTGTATAAAGTCAGGTAAAAGAGGCAATAGTGATTTGTTTTGTAAAGGTCAAGTTGTTTATTCAATAAAATATAAGTTCAAGCCTGCCAATTCCTAGGTGAAATTGGAGCCTTTATATATATGTTTGAGTTATAATATTTTTGTACAGGATAAATATATGCTCGGGTAAAAATATAAGTTAAGATATAGATACTATTTTTGTCAAAATATTAAACTATAGTAGTATTTACATAGATAAATATTTTGGCAAAAATAATATAGAAAGTAAAGATAAAATAAAATAGAAATATTCTAGAAATGGTAAAGGTGCAATAGATACAATAGATGCTGACAATGTAATAACATATCTGTAATACAAGACTATTCTAAAATAACTAACATTTCAAGGGTCAATGCTAATGAAAATCGGACAAGAAATAGTAAAGATCTTGGGCGAAAATAAAGTGTAACAATATATATGCTAGGTTTTCATGCTGATTAATCAAAATAAATTTCAAGAGAAGGAAATTAATAAGAGCTGCAAGAACTTTTTCTTCCATTGTTCTAAGCTTGAAAATTTATTAGGCAAGACATTATAAATATTTAAAGTTCTTTATATTTTGGTTTCAGTTTTCCTGTGAAGTATTTGTCTCTGGCCATATTATATATTAATACTTTATTTCTGATTTTGAACTTATTGTATTTGATCAAATCTTTATTTTTGTCTTTATAGTTTCTTGTAAATATCTTTTTTGCTTGTTCTTATTGTTATAAAGTTCTTCTAATAAAGTATATAATTGATTAAGAATTGTTAATTATAATATTTCCTTTATGTTTGTTATGATATTTGAAGTTTTCATTTATAAAATAAATAAAATGATATCATTTTTGTAAAAGATAGTTTTTAATCTTTGATATTTTTGAACATCTGGGGCCAGTAGTATTGATCATAAATTTTTTCAAAGGTTTTGTCAATTCCCAAGTATGTACCAGTAAAATCATTATGTATCAAATAAAGTATTGCTTCAATTTTATGCTTTTGAATAACTTTGAATAGTTGATTTCGGATTTTTTTTCTTATATCTTTCTTGTAAAATTAATTGTTTTTAACTTTGAAAAATTTGCTTTGTAATTGTAAATGGTTTTGTTAATTATTGTCAATGTTTGTTGATAATTTGTTGTTAAGAATAAAAAATTTCAATTGATAATATTTTTATATTTCCATATTGTTGAAGTTTGAATGTCAGAATATCAACTATCTGATTTGTATTCTGTTTTATATTGAATTTCTTTAATTGTTTTTTCAAGATTTTAACAGTAGATAATAAGATTGGTATCTGTCCACTAGATTGAATTGCAAATATAATTCTTAGAATAATTATTAAATTCTTCTCTATAACATTTGAAAGGTTGTTTAAGTTTTGATAATTACCAATAATTATCTAATAGTTGAACTTGTTTTTCAAATTCTTTATCACTTAATCTTGTTCTTGGATTTTGATGAAAGTTATAATCACAAAGTTGATGTTGAAATTTATTTTTTGGAAGAACATATATGTGAACTTCATTAAAAATAATTTGGATGGATTGAGTTATTATTAATTGGACATCATTTGCTCTTTGTTTTCTTTTACAGGCATATTTATTTTTGAAAGAATATTTGTTTCAGTTAGATAATTTCTTTCACTAGTTGCAAAAGATATAGGTATAATGGTCTTCAGCTCTTTCTTTATAGATAGAACAGTATCTTTTTGCAATAAACTATTCAACTTTGTAAAATGATTCTTTTTGATAAGAATTATAAGATACAATAGAATTAGCAGTTGTAAACTATAATCAGAGTTTCAATTATTATCTTCTTTTTGAAGCATATAGATAGGTTTTTCTGTTTCATATATGAATAATATAATGTTAACATTGTTATGTTTTCTTTTTGCTTTATGAATAACAGTATAGTTGTAAGGTTCTAGATATAAAATCAATCTGGCTCTTCTTTCTTTAAGTTTAGATGTCTTTAATCATTGAAAGGCAGAGTAGTCAGTTATCAGATAAAAGTGATTAGTTCCAAAATATTGATGAAAGTATTCAACAGCTCAAATAACTACTAGACATTCTTATTTAATAGTAGAATAGTTTTGCTCAAGTTTGGTTAGACTTCTGCTAGCATATGCAATAGCATGTTCTTGTTTTCCTTCTTATTAAGCAAGTAGTACTCTTAATCCAGTATCAGAAGCATTAGTATAAAGATGAAATGATTAATTGAAATCATTATATCTCAAAATTGGTATATAAATTAAGTATTTTTTTAATATTTGGAATGCTCTTTCTTGTGTTTCAGTCTATTCAAAGAGTACTTGTTTTTCTAAAAGTTCATTTAATAGTTTGATAATAGTTGAGAAGTTGACAATAAATTTTCAGTAGTAGGATGCTAATCTTAAGAATTCTCTAAGTTATCTGACATTTATTGGTCTTGGAAAGTTCCTAACTTTGATGATTTTATTATTATATGGCATAATTCTATCATGGCTGATTTCATGTCCTAAAAGCTTGATACTGACAAGAAAGAAATAATATTTTTCATATTTAATTTTAAATTTGTTTGGCAAAAAACATCTAAAATAATGTTTATATAATTACAATGATCTTGAAAGGTTTTAAAGATAATAGTAATATAATCCAAGTATACTAAACAAAATTTTTTTTTGTAAGATTCAAAAAGTTTATTTATAAGATGTTGGAAAGTGGCAGGGGTATTGCACAATCCAAAAGGTATAACATTAAACTTATAGAGTCTACATTTGATGATAAAAGTAGTTTTCTTTTTATTTTCATTGCTCATGACTACTTGCCAGTATTTACTTGCTAAATCAAGACAGGTAAACCATTTAGTATCTTGGAAAAAGTCTAGAAGATTATCAATCACTAAAAGAAAGTAAATATTCTTTTTTGTAACTTTATTT